CTGAATCCACAGGAAAACCAGATTATCGGAAAACCAACAAAAATATATGACAGTCATATTTTATTCCCTTTTAACGATACGAAATGTTTTTGAATTATCTAAATATAAAAGTTTTTCCTTCTTTATACATCTCTCTTCTTCCTCGTATCATTCGTTTTGGATTTAATCAGTGTAATAGAAGGTTTAGGTCTGCTGGTAGACTCTAGCGCAACTATATGGTGCCCGACATTACAAATTGATTCCTTGGAAAGCCACACAATTTCGTTAATGGGGAGAATCCAATAAGTCTTGAAGCTCCTGTGGACCACAGCAGTGGAGGAATTCGCCCCCCCCCCTCCCCACCAACCTTCGTAGCTCTCCATTAGATGCATGTAACGGTGTAGACCCAATGCTTTTTCATTAATATATGGAAAATTTATAAAATAGGCAATCGAATTACGTGGAATAGCGCGTGGGCAAGTAATCGGCGAAGAGCTTTTACGGACGACGGGTTTCTTTCCCCCCCTTCCCCTCCCATCGTAGATCGATACGAGTAACGGCCTTGTATAGTTTACTGTGAGTGCTTTAGCGACTTCGGGCGAATAATAAAGATACGTGCTTTATATCTCCCGAAGACCAAGCAAAGAAGAAAACTTCTTTTTCTTTGCAGTAATGCCAATACATCGTAAAATATCACGGGGGGAGGGGAGTAAACATTTTTGTATTGTATAAAGGAAGCCATTGGGCCGAAGTGTCAGATCTGTAAGAGGGGTAAAGATACTCTTTTTCCAGAAATGGGTAAAAGAAGTAGGTGTACAAGGATCTATGGCACTCAATAAAAATAAACTACTAGGCATCATGGAAGGAAGAGATAAAGTCACTGAAGATCATATAAATATTTTACTCAGATCACTTTCACAGGGTTTGTAATCAGATATGATTTACGTTCGGTGCGACTGCTAGTAAAACTTGTTTTTTTTTGTCAGGAATCATTCTTACGTAAAAATAATAAAATTACATTCCATTTTCGTGTACATTTCGCGTTTACACTTGCAAAAACCTATAAAGTCCTTTGTTTGATGAATTTATTCTTCTTTAAGTCAAAGGTTTGGTATATAAAGTTAGTTTTTGTCAAAGGTTTGGTATATAAAGTTAGTTCCGAGGTCATGTAAATTAGTCCTTACAACTTAATCTAACACTATCTATTTCTTGGCTTTCTGTAAATAGCGTAAAAATATGTTAGGAACTGTAGTCACTCAAAGTATGAAAATAATAACAGAATATAACTGACATAAAAAAGGATAAATGTCTGTGGGACATTCGCGGTTCTTTATTTGCTATTCCTACATTGATTACATGAATAAGGTTAAAATGAGCTAGAAATTATTGAAACAATAAAATACTACGTGTACTAGGGGGATATTATTAAAACTGACAGCAAAGAAACAGGATATAAGAGTTTTTCATGCTATTTTGAACAAATTTAATTAAAGGAAACCGTCTTAAGAATCTGACAGTAGCATAGATAATAACGTAATATTTCGGCTTTTATGAAACCCGTAGGTTCATTATCGTGTTCACAAGAGCCCGCCATCCGCCCCAATCCCAAGCCACATAAATCCAATCCAATGCCTCCAAACCCGTTTCCGTATTTTTAACATTGTAGACATTTCTCTTCAGGGTTTTCAGCCAACATTCTTTCCGTATTGTTTCCTAAGATTACGCTAAAAATGAACATCCCTGTCACAAATAGGAAAGACGTAAACCCAACCGTCAACTAAATATGTAAATTTTGCTTTAAAAGATCACTGGTAACGCATGCAGTGAAAAGAAATAACCCCAAATTTGTATCCAACTCACTAAAACGTAACATAAATTTCTGATTTGTTATTTGAGTCATAAATAGATTACAAGTGAAATTATGAAGTAATGTATGTTTATATTTTCTTATAGCTCGAGAAGAAATCAACCGATTTACAACCAAACTTGGCATGCTTATTCCTTGAGACCAGGGTCAATTTTTCAAAAAGTGACCTCACTTCGATTCCCGGCGAAGGCGATTCTTAAATCTCGGAAACCCAACACAAAATACTAACAACGCCAAAAACAAAGTAGTTTTTTTCGGCGAGAAGATTACAGAAGTTAAGGTTACAAACCCAAAAACTGTCAGCTAGTACTTTCATATAGAGTTAATTATCTTTGTTAAATAGAAACATCGAGAGACGGAAAAACGTTCTTTGATGATAATAGTCTCAGTTCTTGAAAATGTTATTTGCGTTCGCTGTAACTGCAGAATTATTTAACTTTCAGACGTTATTTTAAAATACAGAGGAAAGATATTAGTATTACGTACAAGCAAGAGAAAATATTTTTTACTCTCTGAACCACTAATATTTCAGCATTATATATGAACATCAAGTGTCTTCGTATACAAAAGAAATACGTATTTCATAACTATAATAACCACATTTGTGATATAAGAGGTAAAAACAATTCACATACTGAACTGATATCAGTTTTCGTAATATATTTCAACGAACATTAAAAATATTTGTATCAATAGTCACTTCAAAACAATGCGAGAGAGAGAGAGAGAGAGAGAGAGAGACGGAAAGAAAACATGCTGTCACTAGAAAACTGATTCTGTATTACAAATGCATGGAGATTATGTTCATATAATCCTTATGGTGTGACTTTCAATTCTTTGGTATGCCACAGACTCCGTAAATATAACCAACACTCACATGGATTATTTCATATGACAATACACGTTTTCCACTATAGACGAGAACCAGAGACAGGCGACAAAAATACAGTCGTCTTTAGGGTCGACAACTTTAATTTAAGAAATTTTTCGTTCTTACGTATATTTTACAAAATACTAGGAAAATTATTTTTCCTACCAACAATAGAATTTCTAGCTATATGCAGCGTAAGGTTTATGTTGTTAATTAATTTCTAACAATGAATTACATAGCATTATATTTTTTTACAACTAGGGCAGAACGCTCCTTTCGGAGCTCCTCGGAGGGGCTGGACAAGTTTTTAAAAAGAAACCAACCCCTTCGGGGGGGGGGGGGGGGTTGGGATTGGTTGTGTTTTAAAATCTTGTGTAAGAAACTAAACTAAACCCCCCGAATGGAGGGTTAAAACACTTGATCAACCCCTCCTTCGGGGGGGTTGGTTGCGTTTTAAAATCTTAAGTAAGACACTAAACTCGGCATTGTTGTGTTGCACAACAATGCCGAGTTAGTTTATAGTTGGCATTGTTGATGACGTCATTCTTTGACGACAAATTGGTTGACGACAACGGGGAATCAGAAATTTTTTTTTTAACAATGCCTCACTAACAGCATTTTGAATATTTTATAGGACACAATAACGCAGAAAAATTTATATTTACGTCAACAATTCGCATCTACGGTAATAAGCAAAGACAATCAATGGTAAAATGCCGCTGTTACACCGTCAAATAGAAATGTGTTTTTATACATAAATTAGGCTTTCCCGTCATTTTATTACGCAGTCAGTTGATAAAAAACACTATCACAATAGGAAAGCAACACACAATACAAAAATACCACAATAAATGTAAATTTACACTCAGGTATATACGTCTAATACAATTAATTTTAAATAATATAAATTATATAAGCTACTATTTTCCACAGCATGTTTGAACATAGTCGTTCCGCGATAAGTTTGAATTATAGTAATTCCACAGTAGTTACACATTTTGTACACTAGTAACTCTGCTATGAATGTGAGATTTATAAATTCTGGTCAAAAGAAACTACCTGTACTCGAACGTCCACCGTACTCAACCGATTTCGCCCTTAGACTGAAGATCTGTCAATGGATATAATTTTTAATCGCTTCAAGACATTCAAATAAATGTTAGGAGAGTAGAATTTCCAGGAAATTATTTCCAGCAATGTCTCCACGTGTGATAAGAAAGGTGTATGGCTTTTGTGTAGAAGACTTCCTGAAGACAAGGGCTGAACGTACTCATTAAATGTTACTGGTAATATTTACTACTTTATAGAATCAATACGGTTGCTAAATTGTTGTGCTCATACATTACCTGAAACGGATGGTTTACCAAGTTTTATTTCCATGCACACACTTTACAACACATCACAACGTTCCGCTGTAACTAAATCCACCCCACAGATGACAAGCGAAAATGACCTCGTGATGCTCAAAACAAAATATACCTCACGTGAGCTGCATGTTATTACTTTCACCATGACCTTGTATGTTGTCATACATGCTACAGGTGTCATTTCATCGAATGTTTATCACGACTAACGTGCCCTTAGGAGCACGTACTACAACAGAACAACCTCTGTATAAAGTACGAGCATGATTCCCAGAAGTGTAATGTTATCCAGAAGGTTTGTATTTCGCGTTTTCACCTGCTATTAAGTGCCCAGACCTAATTACGCAGTTCCAATTTCTGATACAAGAAAGCAAACCCTACAATTCCTGTCATTCCAACTCATCGTCATCTACGAACAATTTATAGAACGTTGCATGGACAAGAGGTCAAATGATATGTTTTTCATCCATTATCAACCACAAATGTTGTTTCATTTGTACGTCGCTGATTTCCTCATGCATGGTGAATTTTCAGGTTTAATTTCTTCCTACAGATGGCAGGAACTCTTAAACTGATTGTTCTTCCATCTATGGACCAAAGATGAAACCACCTGAACATCTGGTGTAGCGGTATTAGGGAATATCATGTGTGTAATGCTGGTCGTGTAGTGAGATTGCGTAATAAATATTGGTTGCAGCAAATAAAGTTCCGAACACTAGGTGACTTTACAGGTTCAATTTTGTCCAATAGATGGCAGGAATTCTTAAACTGATTGTTCTGCCATCTATGGACCAAAGACGAAACCATCCAAACATCTGGCGTAGCGGTATTTGGGAATTTCCTGTGTGTAATGTTGGTCATGGAGTCCGATTGCGTAATAAATATTGGTTGCAACAAAAAGTATACTTCTCAATTGAGGTTACGTTATGAAATAATATTTTTAATCGTACAGTTCTGTACGCGAAATGAACATGTGTACACTTTCAAGTTTCCTAATATTTCTGAATTTGAGGTCAATTTACATACCATACTATACAGCTGATTTTTCAGTACAAATCCATTGGTGGTATTAGTATTTTGCGAGCCATTTCTAGAAGGTGCTTCTTTGTTCGAGGGTGACTTTACTTATTTTGAATTTGACTCATGTAATGGTCTGGGAAGATTGAAAGTTGTTTGAACAACGTGGCCTACAACTAAACTTTACATCTGAATGAAATGAAAACAATATTTTATTATGTTGTCATCATGCGTACGAATTACAGTTGCAGGTTTTGCAATGGATGAACTGTTTTGTGAACTTGTATTTTGAAGAAAGTTAACACATTACCACTGTATTGTCAAGGATTGTATGTGAAAGTTTTGCTTTTGCCTATGGGTGATTATTAGTTCTTATATTGGAATGATGTTACGAAGATCCATGAAGAGGTGTTCACGTTCACCTCAAAGCGAAGTAAACAATTTTGAGAATACAGCCCCTAATTCACTGGAAAAGAAAAAACGAAAGCTAGAAACCAAAGTAGAAACGAATGATGGCAAGTTATTAGAAAATACAAAAGGGAGTACCACTCACAGTCGGAAAGAGAAATTTGAATCTTCAGACAGCAGTTCTGATGAGTTTATGAGAGCTCCTCTGTTGTCAGATATTGATTTGAGTAAGTTTCCTGTGAAAAAAGACACATTAGATTTCACTGCTGTAGAAAATAATATCTTGGCTGGTGTCACACGTTTGAGTGATTCTGAGGATTCTGATTTTGATGGTGATTCAAAAATTAAAGCAAATTATTTTCCTCCCGGTAAGCAACAAGAAAATACAAGAGAGTGTATAAAAACTGGTAGAAAAAAGAAGTCATTGAACAGTACTAGATCCAGAAACATATCAGGAAAGAGGAATACTTCAACAGAAAGTTTAAATGTTGTAAATGACAGAATGAAGGTTTTGTCAGCACCAGATGTAAATAAAATGGATGTGTCTCAGTTACTGGCTTTGGGAGAAATTTCTGAAACTATACCAAAAGTACATACAGCTGTTATAGACAGAGCACACGATTCAACATCAGATTCAGAGAATAATTTGTCAGACTGGGAGGATGTTGAAGGATTAGATGTCAAACCTATAGAACATGTTATTCCCAAGGAGGGTATTGAAGTGACACTAGAAATGCCTGATTTGCATAGGAAACAAAGAAAGAAAGGATATGATTTGGAAGCCCACTTAAGACGTCGACTTAATAGGGTAAAACGTGAGCTTCAAGTTCTAATTCACAAAGTACATCTCCTTTGCTGGATTGCTCATGGTCAGTACATAAATTCAATCGTCAATTCTGAAGTTCTGATGGCCCTATCCCTCTCCTTAGTTCCATCACAACATTGTTACCCTTCAAAACACACAAATCTCAGGTACCTTGAGCAAATTTTGGCATGGTTTAAAAAAACAGTTGCTGTCTCAGATGAAACAGAAAACAAGCCTTTATTACCACTGTGTGAAGCTTTACAGCAGTCGTTTCAATTACGGACTGCGAGTTCCACGTACAATTTGGTATTGATGTTTATTTGCATACTTAGGACACTTGGTATAAAAGCGCGGTTGATAATGTCACTGCAGCCGATTCCATTAAAACCCTCGAGTCAGGAGCTGTTTAGCATTAATAAAAGAAGAGAAGAAAAAAAATCAAACCCTAAGGAGGATGCCGCTGTTGTGAAGGTTGAGAACACTGATGCAAGGGATACCAATCAAGCAACAACTTCAAAAAAGTCAATGAAAGATGGAAAAAAAGACTTGAAATGTAAGAAATCAGAAAGTACAAACAAAGTAAAAGTTGAGAAACCAGTGGATAATAAATGTAAAAAAAACAACGAAACATCAAGTAATTCAAATTTTAAATCCAAAACTCAAGACGTTAAACCTGCAAAGAGATCTAGAAACAATTCTGACATGTCAAAAGGCAAAACTGATGAACTGAAAAGAATACTTAGGACACGTAAAGAAACAGTGAATACGTACAAAGACAGATCTGATAGTTCTGATGAAGATGATACATCAAGTGAAGAGAGAAGGGTAGCTTGTAGAAAAAAGCAAAGCCCAAAAACCAAATTCAGCAATGATGGGCACCTTCGTAAAGGACCCACTGATGATGTTCATTTGATAAAGCATCAGAAAAGTTCATCAAAAGTTAAAGAAAGTCGCAGCAATAAGGAGATAAAAGCTGTTAATGTTAATACAAAGAAAGGAAACTCATCTCAAACAGCATTATCCGTTAAACAAGATGTAAACAGTGACAGTGACAGTGACTTTGTTCCAGAGTCTTTATCAAGTCATAAATCACGTGACTTCAAAAGAACGGAGTCGGCAGACTCAAATAGTGAAAGTGATTTTGATCTGAAACAGGAAACACAAACTAAGAAGTCAACTAATAGAAAGGTACCAGACAGGAGAGTAATAGCATCCGATTCTGGAACATCCAGAGTTGGAAAAGGGGCAAAGAAGAAGCACTGTGATATTTGGACTGAGGTGTTCTTGGAAGAGGAGGAAAAATGGATTAGCGTTGATGTCCAGAGTGGCAAACTACACTGTGTTTCACAGCTGCATGTAAGCCATCTCATTTCTATTTATGATTCTAGTTTCTTGTAACAGTTAAGATGTTAATGTTGGTCTTCTGGATTCTAATGCCATGTTAATTGATACCAGTAGATGTCAGTAGATACATTGTCTCCAACTTTACTGCTTCAGTATGTTTTTTTCAAAACAGGTATCTACCTATAAGTCCGTATTACAACTCAGAAGACCTGCATCATGTCTACTTAGCTTTCTTCTTTTCAGTACGGACACTTGTGCTGATGAGTTATATTATAATTTGCGTAAGCAGAGTAAGTAAAGTATAGTAAAACTGTCTCACTATATGCCATGAAGATGCTTGGGGAGAGAAGAGGTATAGCTCGTACTCATTCTTGATCTCTGCGCTGCGTGGTCAGCGTCACATCCTAGTTATGCTTTACTACTGAGGATAGGACCCCCACTACCCATTGGATAAGAGGATGGGTGGACTCCATAGATTTTGTTTTATGTTTTTGTTTTCTTTGTTGACAGTCACGTGCCACACAGCCGGTAATGTATGTCCTGGCCTTCAACAATGATCTTACTTTGAAGGATGTGACATGTCGATACTGCGTCCAGTTCTCGACAGTGACAAGAAAACTCCGTGTGGATGAGAAGTGGTGGAAAGAATCTTTGAGCCCTTTTCTCACCGCTCCCACTGCCCACGATAGGGAAGAAGATGAGGAGCTAAACCGCTTAATGTTGGATCGACCTATGCCAACTACTCTAAAAGAGTAAGCATGCGCACAGACAAAAATAAGAATGTAAAGTGTATTCCAATTGAAAACATACATTCTCATGCTGCCTTTATCATCGCCCTGATGATGGAGGCAGCAAGGACCTCTGAAATGTCAGTAAACTTCTACCAGATACACGGCACAACAACCCAGAAGACAGCCATCTTCATGGTAACATGTCATTCCTTAATGAGAATTGTTAAAGATAATGAAAATTTGAGATAATTAAAAATGGCTATTAATTCTTCTTAATAAGAATTGTTAAAGATAATGAAAATTGGAGATAATTAAAAATGGCTATTAATTCTGAAAATGTGCCAGGAGGGATTTCTTTGCCCTTGGGTCCAGTGGGAGAACTATTATAGGCCTGAGGAAAGAGAAATGTTGGACCACCCTGATATAGACTGACACACAAGGCTACATATATTTGTGTCTGTGTTTTGACAAATAGTTTTAACTTATATATATATATGTTTTATTTACCAGGTTCAAAAATCACCCATTATATGTGTTGAAGAATGACCTACTGAAATTCGAGGCAATATACCCACCTAATGCACCACCTCTGGGATTTGTGAGGGGGAAACCTATATACGCAAGGGAATGCGTCCATGTACTTCATTCAAGGGAGATTTGGATGAAAGACGCTAAGATCGTTCAAGTGGGAGAAACGCCATACAAAATTGTGAAAGCCAGGCCTAAGTATGACAAGGTAATGCATAACTATTTCTACCTGAAAATTGAAAAATTTTAAATAAATAAATTTTGCCTGAAATTAAAAATTCAAATCACAGGAACAAAACTTTTAATACTTTCAGATGACAGGGCAGTTTGTAAAGGATCTGCCTCTAGAGGTATTTGGCTTCTGGCAGGTGGAAGATTACATTCCTCCTCCTGCTGTAGATGGGAAAGTCCCTAGAAATGAGTATGGAAATGTTGAGTTGTATAAACCCTGCATGCTACCTAAGAACGCTGTTCATCTTCAGGGTAAGTTTCATAAATCTCTTTGGTCCTAATTTGAGTCATCACCCTGATACAGTAGTTCTGAAACTTTTTAGTATTTATTAATCCCATTTTTTGACATTGTGAATGATAGCATCATTAAATGAAATAAATACACTTTATATAGCCCTTAACGTAATGGACAGGTCACATATTTATATATGTTCTTACTTTGTTATAGTTCCTGGTTTGAACCGTGTAGCTCGGAAATTAGGAATTGACTGCGCGCCAGCAGTGATTGGATTTGATTTCCACTGTGGTGGAAGTCATCCAGTTTTTGATGGTTTTGTTGTCTGTGAGGAGTACCGAGACACACTGCTTGATGCCTGGAAGCAGGTAAAGACTTGCTCTACATACCCCAATGTTTGAAGAATTGTGATGTAGCTTCCTGTTTTAATTAATTCAAGACAATATAATGTCAGTACATTTTTCATTCACATATCTAACTTACAGATGAGACATTCTTTAGGTGGAAGTTTAAAGGTCTCTCTTGATGATGTGACACATTGTGTAATTTTTTTTTACTTGACGCTTTGGCAGATATATCATATGGTATGTGGCTACAGTATTCATTTACTTTATTGGCTCCTTGTCTTAACATGACAATGCTGTAATGCTTTAAAATAATTATGTTTTTTGTAAATTAATAAATAAGGCAAAATCTGAGGTTACAGCCTGCCTGATAAAGTCAGAAGAGTATCAAAAATCAAATCATTACTTATAAACCGACCTCAAAGTAACTTAACTTAATTTTAGGTACTGGCGTTTCCACTACACTGGTTACTATAATAGTTACACTACCGTGACTTGATGTCATTGTATTAGATAGAGACACTTCCTCCGCAATGTATGTTACGATTATATCACCTGAATTGTGTTTGTGAAAACAGTGTAGTATGTTTAGTTAAAGTTTATTTGAAGGTGTCATAACCTTTGTACTAATATATTTATTTATAATGAGTGATTTGTGTTATTAGGAACAAGACGAATCTGAAAGGCGCCAGCAGGAGAAGTTGGAAAAGAGGGTGTATGGCAATTGGCGACGTCTCATCAAAGGTCTTCTGATCAGAGAGAGACTTAAAAAACGATACTCATTTGGTGATGAAGCAGGACCTTCAGAATCTAAGAAAATCATCAGCATGAAACAGAACACAAAAACTATTGAGAAAAGTAGTGGTCGAAACGGTAAACAGAAAACTGCATGCAAGAGACGTAAGATTGAAAGTGAGGAGGAAGCCAGTGATGGTGATAAAGACTGGGATTAGTACATAAAAGAGATTTTTAGGGTTTTTATTGTAACCATTATTAATGTGCTAGCACATGGAGAAGAAGCTGTCTTTTTTGTATTATACCTTCTTAAGCATGTTTGCAATTAAAGGTTGCAAGAACTTACCTATTAGCTTCACCACATCTCCCTGTCCATATGTAACAACTTAATAATGGCTGAAAATATTTTCATGAAATTTGATGGTGATGAATTATACTAAAATTTTCACAGTTAAAATCAGACAACAATAACGGGCACTTTATATGAAGCTCTGCATGTTTCTGTGTGCTGAAGTGACTGGATTGTGAATCCTTAGTCTACTTTGGTCACCATGGTTGCCTTGGAAACCAGAGGAATCCTAACCCAGCCAGAAAACCACGTGGGAGAACCGTCCTTGATGACATCACCAAGTCAGACACCCCATCAATGCAAATCTCATTCACCCCAGACAACTCTAGGGTCAGATTCATGTGAATGCGCTAAAATTACATTACTTTCAGTAATGCAACTGCTGATTTTTTTTTACAATAATTTACAAAATGGCAGGATGTCCTTGTTTCTGAACATCGTAATTTGAATAATATGCATTTTTCTGTTACTGTGAACCATTTATAATGCTGGAATAATCTGTTCACATATCTGCTGATGCATGTTTATCTTGAATATTATAGAAGCCCCTAATTTCAGAAGAAAATAAATTCTTTGAAGAATGTGTGACCCAAACTTTCCTTTAAACCTTATCATATGGGACTTAAACCTTTTTAATAGTGGGCTGCCAGCTGGACTTAACTCTGGGGTTAACAGTTTTGTACTGCAGCGATACACAAGCAGGTGGATTTTCCATAAACCACCAATAATGCTGTCATATCTATAGTGAAGATTTAAAGTATTACAGTATACTGCATTATAATAACAGTTTCTATATATAATTTTTTTAGTATATATTTACACAATAAGAAAGCTGTTATATTTTACCTCAAATTTTGAACTGTAACCATTTTTGTAATTCTTACATACATAAAGTTTCAAATATGAAATATGTAGTTGTCTTTATAATCTGTCCCCATAAAATTTTACCCATGGTTCATCACTTATTGTGAATGAACCAATACGATTTTGCTTGTACAAATATGTATGTCATCGAGAGAAGTGTACTACATTATAATTCTGTACTGAAGAAAAATAACTTTATCTATTTAATTTTTAACTAGTCTCCTTACTTTATCAGGATTATATATTTTATAAGTGATAACTTTTAAGATATCATCAATATTAATTCATGATCTTAGCTATACAAATCCATGCTAAGTTGCAGCAATGCAGTTTGTGATGTTTTTATTATACGGCTTCGGAACAGTCTGAGGTCCTGCTACGAATCAGCAGACCTCCTACGTACTGACTGGTCAGTTACAAAGAGCAAAACGTAACTCAGCTGTCATTTCTGCTGGAAAACACCGATCAACGATTTGAGTGTGTGTGACCTTGACTTACATGATGGAGCTGAAGTTTCACCACTTGCAGTTTATTGCCCCGTGCATGAGATCATTACCGGTTGATCTGGTGTGCACCCATGGACTTTACAAGGCACCCTGGGAACTTCAGTATTAAGATCATCACACTGAAAAAAGGCATTTTATAAAAAAAGGCTTTTTTGGCTTAATTATATTAAATTGTTTATACATAATACTAATTTTAAATAAAACTTCATATTAAAACAACATTAATCACAGAGGTTACAGGAGTCTGTTTTCATGGCACATAAATGGATATGACAGTGCACTTATTTGTATGTATTTCATAATTCTATATGGTAAGTAATGTGACAGTAAAACTAGACGCATACACAGTAATTTAGTGTACATGGTAGAGTACTGGATAGACGGATATAAAATTTACAAAGCTATGCTGCATAAGGTTCACCAACTATTGCATATAATATTCATTTGGACTAGAGAAGATTATGGATGAAATGTGTGTACATATATGGTGTCTGCTTTATGCTTGAAGTAACTTAATACTTTATATACCAACTCTCTTAAGCTGATTGGCCCATAAGGTTGTGTGACAATAGACGTGCAGAAGCATCCAAAACTTAGCCACTGCTGTTTGTGTCGGTCACTTTACTTTTGTTTGTACTTTTACATATGAGCTATTTATAGCATATATAAAATGTTATCTTTAGTTCTCACAACTTATTAATGCTTAAATCACAAACAATTCATTATCTTGTGTAAATATATTCACAATTAACTGACACCATGGAAGAAAGTCATTATTGAGAAGCTAACATTTGCTAAGCTACTCAAGAATTCCCTACTTTTAATTAACCTTCTTCTTATTTTTAGCATTTGTCCCACTTTGGCAGGGTCTGCTTTTT